CAACCACTTGCCAAAGCGAGTCGCATTTGGTCGGTTGCTGAAGATGAAGCTCTAATTGGGTTCTACCTGGAACTAAGTGATGATGCGCTTCATGGTACGAGCCAAAAGGCATCCGAACTATGGCGAAAAGTTCATGCAGCTTACTGTAAACTACAAGCTGAGAAACCGCATATTCTCCCGCCAAAACCTATGAAGAGTTTGGAGACACATTGGAGAAGAATGGAAGCTGATTTGCTACAGTGGACTAATTGCTATGACGAGGCGGGCAAACTCCCTGAAAGCGGAAGTGGTTACAACGAAGCCGATCAAATTAAACACGCTTCCAAGTTGTTTTATATCTCCTCTAATCCATAACATAATTTTGCATTTCCACATGGAGTGGAAATGGTTAATAAAGATCCGAAGTGGAGGACTAAACTAAGATGGGGTCTGTCAAAAGAGGAAAGAAAGGGTTGCGGTGCTGATGATGAGGAAGATAGCAGTGGAAGTGGGAAAAGGTGTAGGGGGAGAGTGAGAATGAAATCCGTACTGATGGATTTATGTCCGGAGGATTACCACGACTAGACGGTGTCAAAAAAAACGAAGGCTAAGCGTAAGGGCAAAGAAGTTGCTTCCGAAAGTGCAATATTGAGCATTAGTGAGCAGATAAAGGCGTGTACTGAGGTTAGAGAACGAGAGGCGAATTTACGACAACAACGGTTGGAACTTGATCGAGAAAAGGAAAAGAGGAAGCAAAAACAAGTTGAATTAGCAGAGAAGAAGATGAATTTTGATATGCTTCAATCACTTTTAGCAAGGACAACACCACTCACTCCAGCTGAAGAGGCCCACAAGGACGAGTTACTTCAATTAGTCCACGGTAGAAATTGACTGTATTTCCTTAATGAGTTTATTTTTAATTAGTTGTATTCTGAGTTTAGATTTGTTTAATTATTTTATCTTTAATTAGTATATATTTATTTTGTTCAATTTTAATTAATACTATTTTTAGGTTAGCTTTCTTTACTTAGTTAATCTTTAATTAGTTTAATTTTTATGAGTTGTATTCATGTCCCTTGTCTTATTAGACATTGAGTTATAATATGTCTTTCATGTCAGTTGTATAATTGTATTTTGAATAGTCAAGATTCTTTTCTGTCTTACTATCTTAAGTGTCATTGAATTGTCAATCATGTTTCATCACTCATTGAATTGTCAATCATGTTTCATCAGTCATGGAATTGTCATTCATATTTTGGACTTGTCATTGAGTTTTCATGCTTATAAATGATAGTGATACCATCTTACGCAAATATAATCCAACTCCTCAAAAAATATCCAAACACCCAAGTAACCAGCAAACACAATGTTTTCCATTAGCTCAACCTCCAGCTCGTCTGATTCTGATCAATACGTTGAATTTGATCATTTAGTTGATGAATTTGTCACAACCCATCTACCAACTTTGTTGTATAACAACCAAACACAACCCCAACCCGTATCCGATGTTGAATGTGTTCCAGAGCGTAGAGGGGATACGGATAGAAGAGATAGGGAAAAGGGGCATGTTCAATTATTTAATGATTACTTTGCAAGTAATCCAGTTTATAGCGACAAACAATTCCGGTGTAGATTTCGAATGCAACGACCTTTGTTTTGTAGGATTATGAACAAGGTGGTCGAGGGGGATCAATTCTTCCAGCAGCGTAGGAATGCAGCTGGAAGGCTTGGTTTATCACCGTTGCAGAAATGCACCGCTGCGATTAGAATGTTGGCGTACGGTACCTGTCCAGATGCGGTGGATGAGTATCTGCGCATTGGCGAAACTACCTCCAGATTGGCTTTGCAACATTTTTGTCAAGGGGTTATTACACATTTTGAAGCTGAATATCTCAGAAGTCCCACCGACGATGATTTAAGGAGAATCTTGCATCAAAATGAAATGCGAGGTTTTCCCGGTATGATAGGTAGCATTGACTGCATGCATTGGGAGTGGAAGAATTGTCCTATGGCTTGGAAAGCGCAATACGCAGGCCGTAATAAAAATGCAACCCTCATTCTGGAGGCCGTTGCAGATCAAGATTTATGGATTTGGCATGCATTCTTTGGAATCCCGGGATCTTGTAATGATCTTAATGTCCTTTACCGATCTCCGGTCTTTGATGATGTTCTTCATGGTCGGGCACCTCCAATTCATTTCACCGTGAACGACCATGAGTACAACTTGGGCTATTACTTAGCAGATGGCATTTACCCAAAATGGGCTACTTTTATTCAAGGTATAACACTTCCACAACTTCAAAAGGATAAATTATTTGCTGATAAACAAGCTGCAGCTCGGAAGGACGTTGAACGGGCTTTTGGGGTTTTACAGGCTAGGTTTGCCGTTCTACGACAACCCTTTCTTGCGTTTAACGAAGACATATTGTGTGACATAATGAAAGCTTGTATCATTATGCACAACATGATTGTCGAAGATGAACGACACAACTATGCTCGTGCCGAAGTTTTAAGAAGGTACTATGAACAAGATCGCCCGCAAATTACAAGACCCACTACAAGTGCTACAGTTAACAACAACGAGCCTTTTGAATTCAATGTTGGCCGACCGCCAAACGTTGATTTCGACACGTTCGTCCACAGAAGAATGTCACTACGTGATAGAGACACTCATGTTCAATTAAAAGCGGATTTAGTGGAACACATTTGGCAAAAATATGGTTCTATTAATGAGTAAAAAAAATAAATTTGTCGTAAGATTACAATTTAATAGAGTATTAATCGTACGTTTAAAATCTAGGTTCGTTATTGGTTTGTAGTATTAAATGTATTCGTACGCTAATTAAATTTTATGTTGTATTAAATTTATAATTAATTAGCGATTAAATTTCAATATTATGAATGAAAATTTAATAATTGTATTAAATTAAATAAAAGTATAATTGTAATTAGTACCCATAAATATTCATTTAACCAAAACATAATAAATATTAATAGGGTGATGTGTAAGAGAGAGAGATATTGGTGGGGTATGTGAAAAAGTAGGAGAGAGATTGATGAGCATTTTTTTTTTGCTCACTAGTGGGATAAATTTTGCTCACTAAAAATGCTCATGAGTAAATTTAGTTGGGAAGAGAGAGAAAGTGGGTAGAGAGAGAATGAGGAGAATTTGTTTTGCTCACTAGTGGGGATGCTCTCAGTTCAGCTCCAATCAGTTCAGTTCAGTTCAGCTCCGATCCAATCAGTTCAGTTCAGTTCAGCTCCAAATTTCATTCTCTCATAAAATATTCATTTTAGCTCAGTTCAGTTTAGTTCAATTCAGCTCCAATTAGTTTAGTTTAGTTTAGTTCAATTCAGTTCAATTCAGCTCCAATTAGTTTAGTTTAGTTTAGTTCAATTCAGTTCAATTCAACTCCAATCAGTTCAATTTATGTGAACAAGCCTCTAAAATACTACGTACTTTTGTCGAATGGGACCAATGTGTTAAGACAACTATTTAGAGGTAACATGGTATAGGTTAAGTTAGTATTCTTGGAATCCATTTATAGTCAAGAATACTAAAGAAAATTTAACATTATAATATTGAAAATTGTGGAATAATAGCATGGCTGCCTATGTACGAACGATGAGAGCAAGTATTTCATTGGTTCAAAGTGTAATTGGCCCTGTTTGGTAGTAAGCTTATTGGGGGTATATTAGCTTATTTGACTAACTTTAGCTGATTGACTAGTCAAACAAGCTAATACAAGTGATTGGTAGTAAGCTTATTGAAAGAGCTTATTCCACTAAATAAGCTTTTTTTTGAAAAAGCTCATTTTAGGAGCTTTTTCAATTAGCTTATTCATTAATTATTGTGAAATGACACTTATAACCTCATTTAATTTAAAATCCTATCTAAACTACCTACCCCACAATTAGCTTATTGGTCATTTCACATACACAATCACCTTTAAGCTTACACTTTTATATAATCAGTTAATACAATAAGTTAGTCAAATCAGTTAATAAAATCAGCTAGTCAAAATCAGTTAACTCAATCAGTTTCAGCTTTCAGCTTTCTCCCAAATAGGGTCATTGTCTTTCGTTGTACTCAGTACTTAATCTAGCTAAGCTAGTTCAATTTCCTTTAACCGGGAAAAAAAAAAATTGCATGACAAATTGACAACGTACCCTTCTTTCTCTAATGATAAGATCAAAATTATTGCCAAATATTACTGCACCTATGAAGAACTGTTCTACAATTCAAGTACATAACTCCATGTTTTTTTCTGTCCATCATTGTACGTAGATCGACACACATCCTTATAACACTTCATATGTTCTTAAGTTCCTTGTCAATTACGTAGTATTACAATGTAGGACGTAACATACGATATTTGTATAAAGATTATTCATTTAGAATATTGTTTGGTTATCAAATTACCATCAAATGCATATAAAGATTACATACAAACATACCTATCTATGTATATGATACATCATCTTCACTTATTTAATTTGAACTATACACTGCAAAATAAAAAATGAAAGAATAATTTACAGCTGTCTAAGGTAATATTTTGGCTCAAAGATCATAGAGTTGACTTATGAGAATCAAATATTATCTGTGAACAATTTTGTACTGTTGAGATTTTCTGGGGTACTGTGGGGTAAACAGCAGGTAAAGTAATTAATAGAACAAGTACTTGATACACTAAGAGACATTTAAGTACCTAAATTAGAAATCTAATTTTGACAGAAAAATAACCGATTCATATTATTTAATTATACATATTAACATATTTATGTTCTTATATAGTATTCAATATTCATGCATGTAGGTCCAAATTTCATTTTAATGGTAAACATGTGAATGCATATCCTATATTTCTTCCTTAAGACCCTGAACTAGAAATATTTAGGTTTCCTTCTGATGGAAAATTAATTGGAAAAAAACCAGCAAATACTGATTAATACAGTGCTCATTATTGTATATATGAAGCTTATTTAAAAACGTTCATAATTATTATATATAGTCCAAATTTACATTTATAAAGGTACTAAGAAATAAATGTTATAAAAGCCTAAGTTTTGCCATAATCAGGCATTCCAACAGCTAGGAGTGCTAGGGTTCACAACAACTTGGCTGCCATCACATGGTAATGATGATGGTGGCGGTCGTGGTGGCGATGATGAGGATGATGATGAGGATGGTATCATGACATGATCATCCATACGAGCATAATTATTATTATAGTACTCATCAAATTGTGGTTTAGAAATAACATCTATAAGGGAGCTATAATTGTTATGATGATGAGATGGTGATGAGGATGACATGGTTTCTAATTTTGGCATGGTTGGGAATACTCCGGCCATCATCATCGACGTCGTTGTTGTTAGCTTCATCTTCATAGTTGCCTCATCATCATCATCATAAGGAGGTGGTGCATAAATTGATGATTGTGGACATGAGTAATCTAGCTCTGGGTTAACAATTTGGTGTTGATTTTGATTAATACCAACTTCATTAATCAAGTGTTGAAAGCGTAATGATGATGATGATAATGTAGGATTGTCATAAGAAATAATGGGTGGAATTGAATTATGAGGGGTAGCTTGGGTAAGGATGAGATCATTATTTGGATAATCATATATATTAGAAAGCAAATTAGGGCTAAGAGAAGGATAAAAGGCGGTAAATCCTCCTCCAGTATCATGATTATTATTATTATTATCATGAGCTAATAAGCTATTTGAGGAATTGGTTGTAGGAAGATAATTAACATAAAGATCATCAGTGATGGTATTAGGGATGGAGCCCATGGAGGTCGTAGCGGCCATGGTGGTAGCAACTTGAGAGAAAAGTTTTTTCTTAATGCTTGAATTCCAAAAATTCTTCACTTCGTTGTCTGTTCTTCCTGGTAAATACTTGGCTATTTGAGACCATCTGCAGACAAAAAAAAAAAAAAAAAAAAAATCATAAAGAAGAAATGATAGGTGTAATTACTTCGTATTCATGTATAATATGATCATTAATACTGTATGTTAATAATCAAACATCATGCTTAAAGATGACAAGATGTATATATTTATATTTACTAATTCATATTACACCATCAAGACAACTAAAGATTTCTAACATTGTTCAAATAAATTACACTGTTTTGTAAAATTATGGAAGCAATTCAAATTACACTATGAAGACCACTATATATATACTATATAATAAATGTGAACAGATAAAATATGCTACTTGTTTTCAACGGTCAATCCAAAAAAGGGGGGAAAAGAAGAAAGAAAAGGGGGAGAAAGAAGAAGAACCTGTTGCCTAAAATTCTGTGGAGGTCAATGATGAGAGCAGCTTCTTGTTGAGAAAAACTCCCACGTTTCAAGTCAGGTCTCAAGTAATTTATCCATCTTAATCTGCAACTTTTTCCACATCTTTGTAAACCTAAAAATGTATAACAAAAATTTGTTTATGAAAGACGACGCAATTAAAACTAAATCAGTATAGATCAAGGATACGGATTTTGGGCTAGTATTCCAAAAGACGCGAAATTAAAAATGAAAGAAAGAGAGAGAAGAACCACTAACCAGCTAGTCTAGGGACAGAACTCCAGCAGCCATGACCGTAGGTGGTAAGGTAGTTGATGAGCTTCTCATCTTCTTCAGGAGACCATAACCCTCTTTTCACCTTTTGCTTGTTGCAGCATGTGTGATGCCCCATTAATTAATTCCTAATTATCCCTTAATTAGCTTCTTCTCAAATTAATTATTAGGATAACTTTTATTGTGCTAGCACTATAATTACTATATTAGTACTTTCTTATTTATTACATACTTACATAGAATGTGTTTTGAAAGAAGTAATAAGGAAATAAAGTTGTATTTTTTTTTTTTTCAATGGAAGGCTTGGTTTAGAGAGAGAAGGGAATGGACGTTTTTTTGTGTTGAAATTTAGATATATAAAAGCTTTTTTTGGAGGAGAGGAAGTGGACTAGAGGAGAGGGGAAGAAGTGCGTGGATTTTAAGGGTAAGGGACTAAGGGATGAAGAGGTAGGTGTTACAACTATGATTAACGTTTATTGTTTTTATTCACATGAAATTCACACTAAACATTATGGAATTCATACCAAGTATACAAATAGTAGAGATTTTGGAACCATTTTTTTTTTTTGAGACACAAGAGTTATTGGAACTTTATAGAATTTGGACCTTGTATATTTCTTGAAGCTATTTTTTGAGGTGAAAATGAGTTAATTAAAGCTTGATCTTTTTATCAAATAACACTTCCTAGATTAAAAAAAAAAACGAATATTGCTATTAATGGAATTCTTTAGGGTCTATTGATTTCTAAGAAAAAATTGATTAAATAGAAACTTAATATGTATATAGGAAATATAAATTCATAGGATTCCTCCGTTTAATTGTTTCAAATGAAGTTATTTAGGGCATGTTCACATTTACTTAACTAAACTGAACTGATTGGAGCTGAACTAAACTGAACTGAACTGATTGGAGCTGAACTGAGCTGAATTGAAATGAATATTTTATGAGAGGGGGAATTTAGGAGCTGAACCAAACTAAACTGAACTTATTGGAGCTGAACTGAACTGAATTGAAATGAATATTTTATGAGAGGGGAAATTTAGGAGCTGAACCGAACTAAACTGAACTTATTGGAGCTGAACTGAACTGAATTGATTAGAGCTTAACTGAATTGAAATTAAGTAAATGTGAACAGGCCCTTAAATGTTCTTGGCTTGTATGTAGTAGTTTATTACTTCGTATTTTATCAAACATAAGACGTCAAAATTAATGAAAAAAAAGGGGACGATTTGGGGGTGGGAAACTAGTTAATTGATCAGTAATAATTAAAGTTGGGTAAGGGCCAAACTACACCCGATTGTATCAACGGGCCTTATGTTCAAATGAGTCTTGGCTAAAACGAGTCAAGAAACAATTCATGTCATGTCAAACTCATACATACTAATCTTTCAAATGAGGCTCGTGCACTATGACTTTGTTAGATTTTTTGTATATTGATTACATGGAGCAATTAGGATAATAGGATGTACAAGAGATCAGATACGAATACGGGGGTAAAAGTACAAGTACAAAAAAAATAATGTCAATCCCAAATTAAAGGACACTAATAGTACATTAGTACTAAACCTCTGTATAAAGAGGAGGGAATATTAAATATTTGGTTATAATTAGAAAAATATAGAGAGATGAATAAACCCTATTTACGCATGTCACACATACAGTGAAAAGGAAGGGCCCATGTGGCTTTTGGAAGGGGCACAGTCCGCTAAAAGGCATTGCTAGAAATTCAGTTTAATCTTTAACCTATGGCTTCCTTATTATAATTTGTCTTTATTTGGACTACTTAATTCTATATATAGTTGATCAGTTTCATATACCAGAAACTCTAAAAGTTTAATTTGATCATTTAATTTATGGACTGTCTTTTTACAATTAAGTAAAGGAGAAAGGTGTAGATGTGAATTGTGAAAAGACTGAAGATTTCTAGCTTAGAGAAAATCCGGCCATGTCAAATTGTAGCAAATTAAATTGGACCGTAAACACCCCTACTCATTCATTGTGAAGTTAAGGATGATCTATGAGAACAAGAGTTGTAATTTCCTTTTGTGATTGATGACAGCTTGATAGATAATAGTGCTGCTGGGCTCAAATTTGGGCATATGGAGTTATGAATGCCATAATAGCTAATTTAACATTCCTTAACAATGAAAATTGACAACTAAAAGCCAAAAAATTAAGGATAAAGTTGTACGGGAAGATACCGATAACTAGTACAGTGCCGATATCTATTGGTTTACAAACTAAACAGGTACGGGTTTGTAATCATAAACGCATATCGGTGAGATCCCATAACGATATAGATATCGGCCTCTTGAATATTATTAGCATGCGACGTGGCGTTGATTAATCAACACTTGGCATAAAATGTTTTGCATGGCATGCAGCCACCTGGCAGTTGAAATCATTATAAATATGTGAGTTTATCCTAATTAAAAGGTAGCATTTATTACTCTCTCTCTTTTTTTCTCTCTCTCTTCATATCATCTCTTTCTCTTAAACACTTTCTAACTTTATCATCGGAGTGGTTATCCCCGGATTCACCCCGAGGTTAACTAATCCTCACTTCCTATGTAGGTGCTTAGCTGGACGATAGGGTCTTCACGGATCTCGAATACGGGTTGTTGGATCCCAACAGGAACAAAAGCTAAGCCATTAGTCATATAGGTGGAGATAAGAGTAGGAATGGTAGTTATAAATTTGTAATTGTGAATTTTCATTGTCACTCTCATCTTCCTTTCTTGAAACATTATGATTATCTTACTAATCATTATTATTACTATGAAAAAAGTGCAATTTACGCCATAATTGATCTCTTCTGCGCCACCAAAATTTGATTTGCACGCAACAACATATTTTTCCATGCAAAAATCGTGCAGCCCAAACTGTAGGAATCTTGTACTTACTCCCAATGTTTGCGTTGACTCTTGTTATTATGTTCAATAGTCACTATATGATTTTTATTACTCTCCATCTCATTTTTGCTCGACTTGCACAAAATGATCTTACAGAAGTGGGTCAAACGGAGTAAGTAAAATGAGATTCTAGGAGTAACAAATTTCAATTTCAACAGATGTAGTTTTTATGTGTTGTGTCACGTCGTGCTAGTTAGCTCCATAAACAATTTTATATACAAATTAATCAAAACTAAGCTAGCTAACATGCATCCAAGCAAGTCTATTGTGCTTGTTCCAAATTTATAGGCCGAATTTTAAAAATAATTTTCATACATAGCTCATAACGTTAACGCACAACCATGTCATCATATCCAATTTGTTGCGGGATTGTACCAAATCAGGTCATTTTCGTGCCATGTTAGACCAATGTTCGTACCTCCCAATCATGCCATGACCATCTCAAAGCATAAGTAAAGAGGTGGAAAGAAGTCATCATCTTTTGTACTGTGTGATTAATGGAACAAATTCAAAGTTTCTCATGTAAAAAGAGAATCCTTTGGCGTGTAACACTTTTATTTTTATTTGACCTTTGTCGTGTATTATTTATTATTCTACTATTAAAACAAAAAGTATTAGGGTATCTTTTACTTTTGGAAAATAAACATTATTAGTAACCTATAGTAGTAGTTATAAAATAATTAATTAGAATAATATGATAACAATTTTTTTTATTTTTTTTTTTGAAATTATGATTAGCCATGATTTATTTAGCTAGTAATATCAAGAATATGGCCTGGCTAGCTCAATATTAAAGCAGTGTCAACCAATAACAACAAAGAATAACAGTAATAATCATGCAATAAACAGTTGAAAATAATTATTAGCATTATTACACTTATAATTACTTTATAATTTGACCAAATAATATTTGCATTGATATAATATTTGAGATAATAAGTTAATAATAAACCCTTTTTTTGTTAAAATGATCAATATGATATTATGATCAACAAAAAATAACCTGACTAGATCAAAGCATACTAAAACGAAGTACTCCATATATGCTATACAAAGTGGGGCCCATAAAAATTCTGGATCAAGGAGTTAGTTTATATAGCAAGAACTTTTTGCTGATTATAAGCTTAAATTGGAAGGAAAAATAATGGACCAAATGAGATTTCTTAGAATAAATGTAAGCACATGCAACAATTAATGTGTGCAGGACTCTTTGCTTCATTTTGTTGTGTCACTATGGGACACTGATTTTAACACTCTTGTTTCTTTTCCCACTTTATATACCAAGCTTTAGTTTAGCCTGTTTCACTCTTGTTAATACTGGCTATTAGACTGTGAATTGTGAAGGCTAGCTTCTTATTCACATTGATTTAATAAAATGCCTTCATCTAGATATGTTCATATATTATTCATATATGAAAATAATAATCAGATCATATATATACGAATATGTAAAATATCCTTTTGGATAGAAGCCATTATTAGGGCTTGTTCTCTTACGTTAAAATTTAGTTCAGTTTAGTTCAGCTCAGTTCAGCTCAGCTCACTTCAGTTCAGCTCCTAATTTCCTTCTCTAATAAAATATTCAGTTCAGTTCACTTTAGCTCAGTTCAGCTCAGCTCAGTTCAGCTCAGCTCAGTTTAGTCAATGAGAACATGCCCTTATATTTATTTTTATTATTCAATATTAGTAAGAGTTAAAGATTACAACAATCACAATTAGGCCCATTAACTACTTGTCCACGCATTCTAATGTATTTTATGGACTAGAGAGTATAAATCTCTCTAGTCAAATAGAAATTAACCACAAAGGTTGATTTAAAATTGTCGTCTTCAATTGGTACTTCTTTATTTGATTAGTCACAATTTTCGTTAGCTGGTTGCCTGGTTGTTTGGTTCATCGCCCTCAATGAAACATTCAAACAATGTTATATTATTGTACAACTTATCAAAAATATTAAGTCCGAGTAGCATAAAGTCCCATGCAATATCCAATTGGATAACTGCCAAAAAGAGGTTGTTTATAACTGATTGCAATATACATTTCTTTCATAATATTTTTACACCAAATCAACAAATTTGTCACTAGCTAGGTTCCAAAATGTCTTTAAAGTAAGATTGACGTTTTAACCAATTAATATTGAGTTATCCACACAGTTCAATGATCCTAGTAGAATTCAGTTACTAAAAATCTCATGCTTAATTATATTGAGACTACTTCGATCATTTACAATTTGATTGACAAAAAAATTCTAAATTGATGGTTCTAAATTGACAAAAAGTATATTGTACAATTTTGAGGGTTCTGATGTCAAATATTTGATTGGCTAATGGCTATATAGCTAGCATTGTCCTTGGAGAAGGAAATCATTTAGCAAGTAGGACTTATGGAACACTTTGCACTTTTGCAGTGTAAGAAGTTTTAAAACAGTGTATAATTTCTTTTGTTCACATTATAATTTTGTTGATAGTTGCAC